TTTCCTTTCCTTTCCTTTCCTTTCCTTTCCTTTCCTTTCCTTTCCTTTCCTTTCCTTTCCTTTCCTTTCCTTTCCTTTCCTTTCCTTTCCTTTCCTTTCCTTTCCTTTCCTTTCCTTTCCTTTCCTTTCCTTTCCTTTCCTTTCCTTTCCTTTCCTTTCCTTTCCTTTCCTTTCCTTTCCTTTCCTTTCCTTTCCTTTCCTTTCCTTTCCTTTCCTTTCCTTTCCTTTCCTTTCCTTTCCTTTCCTTTCCTTTCCTTTCCTTTCCTTTCCTTTCCTTTCCTTTCCTTTCCTTTCCTTTCCTTTCCTTTCCTTTCCTTTCCTTTCCTTTCCTTTCCTTTCCTTTCCTTTCCTTTCCTTTCCTTTCCTTTCCTTTCCTTTCCTTTCCTTTCCTTTCCTTTCCTTTCCTTTCCTTTCCTTTCCTTTCCTTTCCTTTCCTTTCCTTTCCTTTCCTTTCCTTTCCTTTCCTTTCCTTTCCTTTCCTTTCCTTTCCTTTCCTTTCCTTTCCTTTCCTTTCCTTTCCTTTCCTTTCCTTTCCTTTCCTTTCCTTTCCTTTCCTTTCCTTTCCTTTCCTTTCCTTTCCTTTCGATATTTTGGTGTTCGTTGGTATATTAAGAATTGTTCTCCATATCATTCACTTTTTTCTTCCTTGTTCAAAACTATTTTTTCCCCATTTTTGAAGGAAACGGTAACCAAAAATATAGAAAATCTTTGTGTCATACTGAGTGAGCACAAAGACAGATTGTCAAAGCAGTGATACCATTACTACTAGTACATACTCATGGGATTGCAGCTCCTTCTTCTTGCAGCGCGGTGATACTCATGGACGTCATACCTTCTCAAATTTGCTTCAGCTAGAGACAAGGAAATTCTATTCAGATGGCAGTATCTCCATGACTGGAAGTCTCCACTTCATTTTTTTAGCAGTTGATTATATTGGGTTAATAGAAAGATTTACTACTTTGTTTTTTCCCTACTTCTTACAATTTAAGGACGGCAGGGACCTGTGATAGGGCCTTCAGCAACCAGGCAACCTACTGGCCAGATTATTGAGAATGGAACTGTGTGGGGGAGGTGAGGCTAGCCCCTCCCTTCCTGTCTCTGGTCCTGACTCTGGGCTCTGTACAGCTTACCCTCTAACCCTGGGAGGCAGATTTCTCCTTTTTGTGAGGTGGAATGTACAGGACCTGTTCTTTGAGGGTGTCCCAATGTGTAGGTTCTCTTAGTTTTGGGGGTGTGATCCTGCTGGGCTGGTTACTCTGCAGTTGGGACGTACCTGTTCGCTCCTCTTGAAGGGAAAGACTTTTTTGCTCCCAATCGCTGTATGCACTGGCAGGTTTCTGGTTCAGTCCTTTAGGCAGGCAAACAGAGCTTCTGTCACATTGTTAGCCCTTAATTGAGCAAGATTCCCTTCTTTTCTACCCCTCATTAAGCTGGCATTGTCTACAGGTATAGCAGGACAAGACCACCTCTGGGCTGGGCAGCAGTTTCTCTGCTTCTTCACAGGACCACTAGATCACCTAGTGTGACCTCTTCTGTATCACAAATTATCAACACCGCCTGCACACTAAACCCAACAACAGAAATTAGACTATGTGCCATAGATAAAGAACATGCAGGGTCTGGAGTTACCACTGCCCGAGGTCTCTGTAATGGCAAGAAATTGTGATAATCTCCAGATCCAACTGGCAACAAACCCTGACTTCATGCTGCAGAGAATGGAGACAAGCCTGGGGGTGGGGAAGACTCCTTTATGATCCCACGTGTCCCTTGACCATACATATCAAGTTAGACTAATTGTATGAGCAAAAAAACTGGCTGACCAAGCACCAGATCACTTTGGTCCTGACCAGTTTTGGATTAGGACCCCTGTTGTGCTATGCACTATGCAGGCATCTGTACAAAACAGTAGAGGTTGAACCTTTGTAATCCAGATTTCAATAGTCTGACATCATGGGTGATCCTGTGGATAATCCAAGGGTGGATTGTTTGCGGGGAAAACCTACAGGCTGGGGCCAGGAACATTACTGGACCAGGGAAGAACTAAACTCTGGTGGCCCAAGCAGGGGATCCCTGCCAGCCTGCATGGACCACCCCAGGTCTGGCAAATTATCTGATTCTGCACTGGTCAGGTCCAGTGTTCCCTCTAAGATTTTGTCTTGTGTACCAGTATTAAGTTCATGTGCGCTTGTTCGGATGTGTGCCACAGTGGCACCCAAATTATTAATAAATATCTTATAAACCTCTCCCTTTTCCCTCTGCTGCCATGTCTCCCACTCTCCCTTCACTCCATCTGCCCCCCTGGTTCTTGCTGCTGCGCCCCACCCCTCACCTCCTCTGCTGTCCTGGCTCCAGCCCTTTTCACTCCCCTCAGCCCTTTGAGGAGCTGTCCCCTCCCGTGCACCAGCCCTTCTCTTCCCCCTGTGTCCCTGCTTCTTCTAACCTCACTCTGATCATCTGTAGCTACCCCTTCCCATCCCCTCTACCCACCTCTCCTGCCTCTGTCCTCTGGTGCCTGTCCCTCCTTCCACGTGTCTGCCCTTCTGCTTCACCCCCACAATACCTTCGGCACCTGCACCTTCTCTTATGCTGCATCTTTCTGGTGCCTCACTGCTCCTGCCCTCCCAACATCTGCCCCCTTGCCCTCTTCCTCCCTGTGCCCATCCCCTCACCACCCTCTGCCCTAGTTCTCCTCATGCACCTCTGTGCCCTCATACATGACTTGCTCCATTCTCTGCCTTCCTCATGCCCACCCCTCCTTTCAAACCCTCTTCTCCTGGCACCCATTCCTTCCCCTTCTCTCTTCCTCCCTATTGTGTCTCCCTTTTCTTCTCTCAACATCACCCTGTCCCTTACCTTCTTGCTCTCCAACTGACACTGTCCCTCCTCTTTTCCTGATTGTCTTCTCTTGGGCCCCCTGGCATTTGTCTCTCCTCCACCTTGCCCCTTGGTGCCTTCCCCTTTCTTCTGCGCTGGCTCCTTCCTCCCCCCTCAGCACAAGCCCCTTCTTATTCTCACCTACCTTCCCCTTAGTTCTCCCCGTACACCTTCCCTAACATTCTACCTTCAACATGGAAAGCAATTTCCGGGGCTGGAGGAAAGTGTCTGCTGTCTAGGCCACAGATAGTCTTGCTCGAAGCACATTGCCGTCATCTGAACTGAGATCTTGCGTTTTTATTCTGAAATAGCTTATTTGAAAATAAAGCTTGTAATATAGATGTCCTCACATAGACTTTTAGGCCTTTGAGTGTCATAAGGAGGAGGGAGAAAACTTGTTCATCTTGGCCTCTGGGGATAGAACAAGAAGCAATGGGCTTAAACTGCAGGGAGGTTTAGGTTGGATGTTAGGAAAAAGTTCCTAACTGTCAGGGTAGTTAAACACTGGAATAAATTGCCCAGGGAGGTTGTGGAATCTCCATCTCTGGAGATATTTAAGAGCAGGTTAGATAGACATCTATCAGGGATGGTCTAGACAGTATTTGGTCCTGCCATGAGGGCACGGGACTGGACCTGATGACCTCTTGAGGTCCCTTCCAGTCCTAGTATCCTATGATTCACCTACGCTATTGTTTTACAGGCTTAAGGCACTTTTGCACTGCTGCCTTAATTCATACCTTATCTAATGTGTACCTGTAGGCTATTGTCCCTTCTCTTCCAGAGATCCCCCCAAAATCAAAATATCCCAAATTAAAATGACAGTCTTACAGTGCTTTGTAGGCTTAGTTCTTTTTACTGTGTTAATTCCAGCTTCAGTAGATTCCTGCCTGGCCTGTTCCTAGCCCTTTGTTTATCCTATTGAAGGCATACTTCAACCATAGTGTGAGTCTTCATGGATTCACTTTAGTGGTCCTTCTGCCCTTACAAGGTTAGTTAACTCTTTATCCTGAAAAAGGCAGGGTTGAAGCAGGGACTTCCTCATTCCAGTTAGAAGCCCCCAGCTGAAGCCCTTTACTAATTGATTCCAACACTGAGCAGTCAGCCCACACCAGTGGTAGACTGCCTCAGGTCTCTTGTTTTCCCCTTCTATGGGCTTGTTTAAATTGGAAGGCTTTGTTGGTGTTGCTTGAATTGGCTTTTAAGCTGATATAGTTAAATCAGTTCAAAAGGCTATGTGTATAAATACTCTCATTTTGTGGTAAAAATGGCTTATTTTGATTCCATTAAATCTTCTTCTGAACGGACTTTAAGCTGTTCCCTGTAGACTTTTTTCCCATTGCCATCTGTGAAAAGGCTTTATCAGTTCTCATGACTGATAGCTACTCTCCAGGTCTTGCTTCTACCTCCTGAACTTCCTAACTGAGCGGTACTCTCCTTATGTAATCTTGTTGCTCACATGGCACATCTTGGGACCTATATCATCCTGCATCCCCACCCCTAAATTGCTGAGCCTCAGTAACATGATGGCAGCGGTGTATTTCTTTAAAGGGTCCATCATTCTTTGTAAAAGTAGGAAAATGTGTGAGCTGACATTTATCTCAAGAAATTAGACCATCATCTTACCTTGGGAGTAAGTGGAAAACTGTTATCCTGTTGTCATGCAATTTCTTTGATGGCTGTCATAATATTGTCCAAGAGTTCTGAAAAAGCTTTTGAAAATGTGTAGAAACTGAACAGCTGAAGAGCACACTGTTCTAGGTCAAAAAAAAAAAGATAAAAACTGGGAATGATGCATTTACTTGGAACTGCTAAAACTGCTGCATGTCACGTTGTTTCCACAACAGCATTTGTTATAATCCTGCCACAAAGATTTAGCTTAATCAGCAAGACTCCCCTAACTATTTGGCTTTTTTCAGTGGGAGCTGTTTCACTTTGGCATGTTCTGTGTAGTTGGTGTGCTATCTCACAAGCAACTACAGTATAACTGAAGTACATAATTCTTGTGATCATTTTTTCAAATGTGTCTGGTTTTTTTTTTAATTCAAACTTAGAGACATATTCATGAAAGAGTTGACCGTTGGGTAAATGGAAAAACTGCCTTGTATGTGTGTTTCTTTTCTCTCTAGGCTTGACAGGGGACCAACGATCTTACCATGGAAAAGAAAATGTGGATTCTAGACACAATCGAGGAAGAGGAGGAGAGACAACCCGCTTTCATACTGTCAATGTGGCGCAGCCTGTCCGGTTTAGCAGTAAGTTGCAGTCTGGGGAACCTGGTCCAAATGTCTAGAAGTCAGGTCACAAAGTTAGACCATTTCTCTCAAGGGAAAGACTTAATACTTCAGTATTAAGGTTTTATTAAAACAAATTTAACATTGTGGTTCCAGAGCTAGGAGACATTAAATGTTCAAGGACTTCTAACATTTTTTAAAATTGTCATTAAAATGTCTGCTTTTCTTGAACTAAAGTGCCCAGAAGAGCATATATAACAGAGATCTAAATATTTGCATACTACTTTTTCAATGAAGTTATTTGTAAACTGGTATGCATATTTAACATGGTAATTATGAGTGGTTTCTTAAAGAAATTCTAGTGACATGGTAGATTAAGAATGAAATCCTAAAATCTTTGGCAGTTGTAGCTTTGCTAATATGTTCATTTTTTTTCTAGTGCTCTCATGTCCATTCCAGCTAAGTGTGCGCACACCATGTGCATGGATTTCAGATCATTTCCCCCCCCCCCCCCCAGCAATACTCTTTGGGCCAGCCAAGAAGTCCCCTGAGTGGCACTGCTGTATCGGTGCACATATACCCCTGCTGGCCCTCCACCCCCTCAGTTCCTTCTTACTGCCTGTGATGGTAGCTGGAGCGCCTGACTACTTGTGAGTTATAACCCCCAGTTTAGTGTATATAGTGGTTTAGTGATAGTGTTGAAATTTTTGACATCGTCTCCTCACCTCAAAAAAAGATATTTTGGTCTTGAAAAGGGTTCAGAAAAGGGCAACCAAAATGATTAGGGGTTTGGAACGGGTCCCATATGAAGAGAGGTTAAAGCATTTGGGCCTTTTCAGTTTAGAAAAGAGGAGACTGAGGGGGGATATGATAGGGGTCTATAAAATCATGAGTGGTGTGGAGAGGGCGGATAAAGAAAAGTTATTTATTAGTTCTCATAATAGAAGAACTAGAGGATACCAAATGAAGTTACTGGGTAGCAGGTTTAAAACTAATAAAAGAAAGTTCTTCTTCATACAGTGCATAGTCAACCTGTGGAACTCCTTGCCAGAGGAGGCTGTGAAGGCTAGGACTATAACAGAGTTTAAAGAGAAGCTAGATAATTTCATGGAGGTTAGGTCCATAAAAGGCTATTAGCCAGGGGATAGAAATGCTGTCCCTGGCCTCTGTTTGTCAGAGGCTGGAGAGAGATGGTCCACCCTCTCTGGGGCACCTGCTGCTGGCCACTGTCGGCAGATAGACTACTGGGCTAGATGGACCTTTGGTCTGACCCAGTACGGCCATTCTTATGTTCTTATTGTTAGTTGTAAATAGTTCTTTGTATTTAATTAGCTGTTAGCCTGGTTTTCTGCTTATCTCTCCCCTCCTGGGGAGGGGATGTCCAGTCTGTAGGGATTCAAGCCTTGCGTTAAGTGCTTGAAACTCATGCTCTGCAGCGACCCTCGTGTCTCTGGTTTAAAGTGTCCTGCGGGAGGGCCATCTTGTAGATAGTTGTAAAATCTGCAGCAGCTTCAAGTCAAGGACTAAGTGGGAGTGTAATTCCCGGTTGAAGCTCATCTTAATGGAGTCTGCCCTTCAGCCACCGGTACCAGACTCTGCACCGACGATGCAAAGTGCACCAGCATTGGTGCATGAGGCCTCAATGGCACTGAGGCACTCCAGGGCTCTGACGAAGACCTCAGCACCCCAGCATCGATCTCAGTCACCAGTGCTGAAGAAGAAGAGCTAACACAGGAGAAGGTCCCCTCCAAGGCAGAGCACTCTGAAGAGGCACCACTGGCCCAGTGCTTTGATGCTCCTGCATCTTCCAGGCACAGGTTGAGCTTGGCACGGTGTGTGGGGGTAGTGGGGAGTGAGTCTGGTGCAGGACATAGTGCTAGAAGTTGTCGGTTGACTCCCAATACATTTGACACGGCTTGGGACCAGTGTTCTTTCTAAGCGGTGCAGCTGCACAGCTTCACAGGTGGTTAATGAGCCCCACCTAGTCAGATGCTCCGCTCTGTGCATGGAGCTGGCTGACTGGGCGGGGCTGATTAATCACCTATGAAGCTGTGCTGCTGTGTAGCCTAGAGGGTACACCACTAGAGACCTCATCGAACTGACGTCCTCGCCAGGTCCAGCCCCAGCTTTTTGACATTGTGTATCCCATGGGTATCATGGCACCGAAGCTTACCCTGCAGCGTCTGCCGAGATCTCCTGTGCCTGCACTGGCTGTGGCACCGGCACTGATGACAGTGGTGCCAGCCTCCTCCTCAGTGGTGTTTGCGGCATCGGGACCACTGTGGCGGGCTATACCTGTACCTGCATCAGGGCCATCGGCATCCTATGTTGCACCTGTGTAATCCAGGGGCTATAGTGCAACACAGGCTATGGTACCATTCACAGGCACAGTCCTTGGCACCGTTGTGGTCAGCATTGGACTATTTGTCTGACTCTGAGGTGGAGTCGGTTTGCTCTTGGGCCTCCTTAGCTAGGTCCCGTTCTTAGCACCGGTCCTGCGCCCAGCACCACTAGTGGCACAGAAGCACAGAAGACATGGCCTCCACAGTGGCAGCCACCAGCTCAGTAACCTTTTGGGCATACCATCAGGCCCAGGAGCAAGGACTTTCGAAGGGCACCCCATCTCCTACTCCCCTGACAGTGGTCCCAGAATCCAAGGCCAGTGGAGTCCCCATAAGGACACTGAAGGCACCCTTGCGCAGATACCCATTCCCATGGCACCCCCCCACCTCCAAGTGTGGAGGTGTACCAGGGACAACTGCTGGTCAGGGAAGTCTTCCTCCTCATCTCTGGATGAGGTCCTCACTGACCCTGCACTTTGCCCCCCATGCCGGCTATGAATCCCAGGACACATCAAGAACTACATTGCTGGCTTTCAGCCAACTTAGGTGTGCAGGGGGAGGAGGTACCAGAGGACAAAGACCCTATGGTCGATATACTGATGGCTGATGTGCCAGCTAGACTTGCCTTGCCTCGTAATAAGACAGTGGCAAAAATCTCAACAAATCTATGGCAAATGCCGACCTCTATACCACCCACCCAGAAGGGTGTGGAGAATTGCTACTGCATGCCTCAGTGTGGACATGAGCATCTGGTAGAAGTGGCCAATCACAGCCTGGGCTTACACCTAAGATCAAGGACCCGAAAAAACTTGTTTTGCGGGGCAGGAAGACTTATACCTTGGGGAGGCAGTCGACCAGTTCAGGGAGCTTCTCCCACAGGAATCCCATCAAGAATTTGCAACCCTATCTTAAGAGGGGAAGGTAGTCTCTGCATTGCAGGTGGCCTTAGATGCCACAGACTTGGATGCGTATATGATGGCTGTGGCCATAGTCATGTGTTGTAATGCCTGGCTTCAGGTATCCGGTATATCTCCCGAGATGCAGGATGCTTTACAGGACCTGCTGTTTGAAGGATCCAGAGAGTTTTTAGACCAAATTGACTCTAGATTGCATAGTCTCAAAGACTCCAAGGCTACTTTAAAGTCCCTATTGATTCATACCCCAATCTTACAGAGATGACCCTTAAACTCTAGACCCCCTCTGAGGCCCTTCCATCATGACTATAAGCCCAACCGGGGTAAGAGGGAGGTGGGAATAATAATTTCAATGGGTGAAACAGGTGTAGGAGGGCTTGGTGGAACTTAGGAGGAGGGCCTGAACCCCTCTCTTATCAGCAGCCCAAGTCTTCATTTTGATGATGCACTTGAGGACAGAGTTCCAGTCGTTGCAATGATCCTGCCTTTTGGGAGTTGCCTCTCCTAATTCTACCGTTCCTGGGCTGAAATGACTTTGGATTGCTGTGTATAGTAGAAGTGGGATATGCACAAGGTGAGTAACTTCTTCCTGCACCCATGTCGTCCTCTTCTCCAGGCTATGGCTCTGCCTACTACACATGTGGCTGGCAAGCATGTACAAGCCATCTCGCCGCCATATGGACAGAATGTTAACTGTCCTCCCATCAGTGATAGAGGTTCTTCTGTTGGTGACTTGACCCTCTCCATGTGTACTGGGTGGTTCCATTTCACACTCCTCAGCCCATCCTGACTTTGGTTACAGATGCCTCGGACTTGAGTTGGGGTGCACATTTGGGTGGACTCAAGACTCAGCATATCTGGTCTTGGGCAGAATGTATGATGCACATCACTGTAAAGGTGCTCAGGATTGTCCGGTTGTCCTGTCTGGCCTTTTTGGGTTAAATAAGGGGGAAGTGTGTCTTGGTTCACATGAAGAACACCACAGTGATGTTTTATATCAACAAACAGAGGGATGCTCACTCTGCTCCCCTGTGCAGGGAGGAGATGTTGCCATGGGAGTTGTGCATGCTCAACGAGATGCACCTACTAGTCTTGTACCTGCAGGGTTCTCAGTTAGTTGGCGGACAAACTCGTCCACTTATTTCCAATGCACGAGTGGCTCCTCAAGTGGGAGGTTGCACAGGGCCTTTTCCAAATATGGGGCTGTCCTTATCTAGACTTCTTTGCTACAGAGGGGAACAAGAAGTTCAGGGCCTTCTGTTCCTACCTGGGCAGCAGCAAGGGCTCTTTGGATGACACTTTCCAAATTCACTGGGGGGAAAGGTCTCCTGTATGCATTTCCCTCTTTCCCCTTGATCCCCAAGGTGCTGACCAAGGTCTGTGGGGACAGAGCAGACCTCATTTAGATAGCACCTGCCTGGCCTGGGCAACCTTGTACATGAGGCTCCATCAGCTTTTGGTAGCGCCCCTCATCCCCATTCCCTTGTTCCTGGACTTATTGTCCCAGAACTGCAGCACGTTGCTGAACCAAAGCCTCCAGGCTTTGCACGTGATGGACTAGAGGCTCCATGGTTGAGCGTGCTGGAGCAGCAATACTTGGAGGTGATGTTAGGTAGTAGGAAGTGGGCGAGGTATGCTTCCAAGTGGAGAGGTTTGCTTTGCAGACTTCACCTGGCTGCCATATCAGTGTTCCACCCCAGATGCGGAGGGCATTTAATGTTTGTAGATCACTTGGTGAATGGGTTCCTTAAGGGCTTGGATAGAT